ACGGTATTAAAATCATGAATTTTTATTCTTGAAATTTTATTTTTATAAGAATCATTGAATCATGATTTTTTTTTTTTAAAGAAGTATACTACCCAACGTCCGTGACTGATAATAATAATATAATGCTCAACTGATATGCAAATGGGATGCAATTTATTTCAAAACCGTGAACCGACAATGGTCACCATTATATCGTACGGTATATCTATATGTGTGTACAACATTATTCGAACGACCCACACAAATTAAAGTGTATACGGAATGTGCGTCCTTGAAGACAATAATTTAATAGTTATCAGAGTTTACACATCGTATTATCTAGGTCTCAGCCAGAAAGAAAAACATTCGCATAGTTTCCATCGACATTATTTTTATTACAAAGAGGTTTAGCTTTTCAAGCTTTTCTCAGTCAGAATAGAGGTACCCAACTATAGTTACTATCATGAACGTTATCTAAACGATATTATCCAAATAAAAGTTTTTCAACGCATTTGATTAAATTTAAACGTAAGCAGGTACCAGGCACCTATACAAGTATTTATCAACTAACTCGGTGTTAAGTAAATAATAAAATAAATGACCAATTAAAAATTATACAATTCCATTAAAACAAAATATGTTGTTCGTTCGTTGTATACCCAAATAGTTTTCTCTGAATATTATCATGACCCATTAAAAGCTTACAAAGTGTACATACATAGTTAACCTTATTATGTTTATACTATGTCCCTCTGCGAGTTTTATTTTTCATTTATTTATTTATTTTTTTTTTTTTGATACCTAACTACACTGGGAGATTTTTAAAAATATATAAATATATTATTTGAGGTGGCCAGGTTATTTATTTTCACGAATGGTAAATCGAGAAGTTTGATACAAATATCTGTACTTATATTTTTAATGTAAGAGACTAAATTTCCGTACTTAAGCCCCGGTGGCCTTTAAATCAAAACTAATCCATTAGGATTCACTGCGCAAATCTACAATCATCTCCGCAACCATTAGTATTAACCGTTGCATATATATATATACATATCAAGGATTTTGTATAAATATTATGTGGGTTCATCTGTAATGAATAGTGAACTTCAATACCTGCTTCGTCTTGAAACATCTGTTATAAATTCTTTTTATACTTAATTCGCTTGCTTAAAATTAAAGAGCAACGTTTCCGCACAAGAGTTAGAATATTATTTGGTATGTCTTATATATAAAAATACGAAAATCTTCACTATATATAGGTACGTTTTTGAAGGAATACTATGATAGTATAGCATGTCTCAGACCGCCTGTAAACTCTAAACGCAGTCTATGAGTACAATCATTTTTCGCACTTGGGAATACATGTAACATGTCACATGTTTTTTCTCCATTCCACCGTGTCAAAGWCAAATGGAAAGTTGTATCAGTTCCCGTCTAAATAAATAAGCTCCTCGTTTGAATGYATGTCACACACAAAATCAATTGTATCGACTTGATACTTTATAAATAGTGATCAATGATCATCGATTGATAATGGATTCATTACGCGGAGGATTCTCGAAGAAATTCTATTGGATTATACTGTGCAGGTTAGGTAAGGTTATTTTTGATAACTGTTGATTATCCGTGCCCACTATTATCCCTCCGYATACGATTTATCGCCCAACCACCACCRGTCTTCAGTCTGCGGCAATCAGATTTTWTTTTATACCACAGCAAAATGTTCAAACCKAATCAATTAATAATACGATTTTAATATACTTCAGATTATCGTTTTAATATTAATGTTTAATACCTACAYACCATACACGTAAATAAACAAACGACAAGTAAAACGGTTTCCGACTATCATYTAGTCGCCATTGTCACATARTTAGTTACATAGTTACATATTTCATTCGGTTTCACCAAATGGCGGTGTTTCAAAAATCGAAAGTCATTACCTTTTAAATTTTATGGTGAGTTGTTTATTAAAATACATTTGAGGTTAGTTTATATTTTTGAATTTTGGTAATATTGGCCTTATTGTGTATAGGTGAAGAAGGTGTAAGAAAAAAAATACGACAAAAGAAAATAAATATAGTCACTTGTAATACAATATTATTATTTTTCTTGTTGAATTTTTAAAACCTCATAGCTTGTAAAAATCAAGATTAGAAAAGATTTTAAATATTAAAAAAATAATTATTATGCATAGCCATGCAAAACTTGTATTTTAGTTAACACCTTTAATCTTCGTACAAAAGCTTTAATTAAAATAATGCTTTTGCGAAATTATACATTTGTTTCAAACTACTTTTATAAAAAATAAAATAAAATAAACTATTGTAATAGATAATTCTCAGTCTCTTGCAAAATTAAAATTGTAACAATTACAGTCGCACCAATGAAGAATGGAAATAAATCATAAATATGTATTTTTTTTTTTTAAACATTCAGTGTAGTGTTACTTATATTTATAATCTAATAATATAACTCGTTTATAATGCAGTTTTTCATTTTAGTTCTCAATGGGATTTTTATGACGTAATTTCTAATTCAACGTGTGCTGAGAATAGACATAAAGACCGTTGTATTATTCGTATAACATTGCATACGTATGTACATGATAAATTATTAAAACGTGTTCAGAATATTTAAAATCAAAAAAATACGGTAGACTTTAAAAAAAAAAATGATAGAGGAATTTAATAAAATAAATAACATTATAACTATACAATAAGAATACAAAATATGTCGTAGATGTTATATTTGAAAAAAATAAATTTTAACTGTCTCAAAAACATATCCATATTATTGCGCCCATAGTTATTATGACTTAATTGATCATTGAATAATAAAAAAAATTCCACCATTCTTGGTAGGTCAATCATATAATCTGGCAACTGCAAACGTTTACTGAACGTTTGCCAGAAAATTGACAAAATAATTTAAACAATTTAATTTATTTTTCAATTATCCATTTTCCATACTGAAATAGTTGTTTGTTTGTAAAAAAATATTAACAATCGTCTGACAAATTTATCGAAAACATAATTAATATAATATTACAACTATTTCAGTATATTATCATTCAACCGTATATTAAATATGAATATTACCGGTGGTTTACAGTAGATTTCTGTTATTGGAACGATTTGCATTAGATAGAGCAGGGGAAAAAATTTTCGAAATCCTAATCAATGCTATAGGTAAACGGTTCGTGACAAAAACATGACGACATCAATAATTATTATATTATTAGTAACGAATTCGCAACATCCAATATCTCGGTACAGACCGGCAGCAGWGGCGGTATCGGTGTGCTCTTTGAACATAATCATACATCCGTTCATGATCAGAAGTGGAAATCCGTGGAAAGCGGCAATACATCCGTTTCTGAATCCATTACAATTTACAGGTCGGGTGCATATAAATTGAATATTCCCGATAACCGTATGGCGTTCAATTTCCTTTTCACGTTAATTGGATGTACCCACTGTAAGTCTTAGTGCACTATATAACCTATGATATTCGTGCGGGGAGCAATATTATATCGCGTTTAAGTTTTGTGATTGTGCGAGGAGACGGAATTATTACAAAATAAAACCGAGTTTAATATTTTGAGGACGCGAACTATAATTAAGGCGGTCGAGTTAAAGTCAAAAACAACGGTTGCACATCAATAAGAGATAAGAAGTTAATAATAATACGTTATTCGTATTGATTACAATAACATTTATCTAACTCCAAAGACGGAAGGTGTTGCTCGTAAAACAGATTTAAATTGGTTTGTATTACGAATTGAGTTTTAATGCGACTCTGCAAAATTTACGCATTCACGAGATATTTTGTTTTAATAGGATACGCAGTTGTAAAAAGACACATATTGTAAACAAACAAGTGTGTTGTTATTGATGTGTTTAATGCTATTCATTTTTGATGTTTAATCACATTACAATATTCGTATTAACTACACCTAAAAAGGTATCGTATTTCGTGTAATTTAGGCTTATACATTTTTATGAAAGATTTTCAGTTGTCAAAAAAAAAAATACCATTAAAATTATTATTAWATTTTTTAGTTTCCGCGTTTCGCATAATGTGTTTGAATTATTTATATAGTAAAATGTAAAAAAAATTATATTTTATGACGTGTAATTTTATTTTCCGCTATTATACCTGCATGCGTTAAGTTAAGTCTTAAAAGTGGTTTTGTGACTATACCAGTGATTATAAATGGAAATGTAATGTTTGCAGTAAAATATGTATTATATTATTATTAAACTTACATAATAGGTACCGGAATATTTAATTCTCAAATTTCAAATGCATAAAATTTAAATATAAACCTTTTTAATTTATATTTAAAAAAATAAAAAAAATAATGACATTAATTTCAAACCAAGTCCAAGCGTTTAAAGTAACATTGCACCACAGGAAGAATGTCTAAAAACAAAACGGTCGAATAACGACTTTAAAAATAGTTATAAAATTTATCGCAAACGATTATTATAACGTGCAAAATAGGTACTATAACTATTCACTGCGGGCACCCAAGTATAAATCCAATAAAAATAATGATCAAACATAACAATATATAGTGATGTTCAAGTTGGCACACAAAAACTTTGGTAAACATTTTCTGGATTATTTGGATCCGTCTAATTTGAATGCAATGCCTCTGTGTTTAAAACTATACATATACCTAATATATTATATTATATTATACCTATTGTTGGTAAGAAATATGTTTGTAGAATAAATAAAAACTCAATTTCAAACATGATTATTAGGAGAACAATACTGCAGTCTTCTCGAGTTTTTAATATAAGTCGTACTTATGTACGTAAATAGTTTGTTTGAGAAATAAAAAATGTTAATTTTGAAAATTTATAACAACTCGTTTATTCCACCACAAACTTAGCTTCGACATGGATGAATCGATTTCAATGTATATTTTTTTAAACATTTCAATGTGATGTATAAAACTTTTTTTTTGTAAAATAATGTCACACGTGACGTTCGTTGTGTTTCAGGATCAGTGGCCGTCGCAAATGATCAACGAAACGTCGGCGGCAGCGATCGAGCTGGCTGCTGCGACGGCCAATGACTGCCACACGACCGGCGATAGCGGTTCGATGTCGGGATCGGCCGCCATGTTGACCGTGATCGCGGTAATCGTGGTCACTACGGCGCTGATCGTTATCACCGTGTTCGGTAACATACTGGTCATCATGAGCGTGGTACAGTACCCGCCGCTCCGGTCCGTGCCCAACATATTCATCGTGTCGCTGGCCGTGGCCGACCTGACGGTGGCCATCGGCGTGCTGCCGCTGAACGTCGTCTACAACGTGACGGGCGTGTGGCTGTTCGGCGGCGTCGTGTGCAAGCTGTGGCTGACGTGCGACGTGCTGTGCTGCACCGCGTCCATACTGAACCTGTGCGCGATCGCGCTGGACAGGTACCGGGCCATCACGCAGCCGATAGCGTACGCGCAGAAGCGCACCGTGTCCCGGGTCATGTGGACGGTGGCACTGGTGTGGATCGCCAGCGCGGTCATCAGCTCGCCACCGCTGATCGGCTGGAACGACTGGCCGGACGTGTTCGACGAGCGAACACCGTGCGCGCTCACCACGCACCCCGGTTACGTGGTGTACTCGTCGATGGGCTCGTTTTACATTCCGCTGGTGGTGATGAGCATCACGTATCTGAGGATATACGTGGCCACCAGGCGGCGTTTGAGACGCCGGGCAAAACAGGTGGCCGCGTCACTGCCTTCGGCGCCGGCCGGTTCGTCGTGCAAACGGGACGACGTGGCCACCGGCAGCGGCAAGACCGGGATGATGGCGGACGCGGCCACCGGCGACTCGGCCAGCAGCAGCGACGAGGTGGACGTRGCCATCAACGGTACGGGCGACGGCGGCGGCGGCGGCGGCGGCGACAAGCAGCGGACGGCGGCGGGRCGGGGTGCGCCGATGGCCGTGCGAGCGGCGCCGTCGATGGGCAAGCACGTGAACCAACTGCTGGAGCACAAGCAGCGCATATCGCTGTCCAAGGAGCGGAAAGCCGCCAAGACGCTGGGCGTCATCATGGGCGTGTTCGTCGTCAGCTGGCTGCCGTTCTTCGTCATCTACCTGTTCTTCCCGTTCTGCAAGTCGTGCTGTCCGCCGTCCAAGGTGCTCGTCAACGTGGTCACGTGGCTCGGCTACCTCAACTCGACCGTCAACCCGATCATATACACCCGGTGCAACATGGACTTCCGGCGGTCGTTCAAGAAGATCCTGCACATGGACGGGAAGCACTAACACTTGCACGCAGCAACAGCATCGCCGCCGCCGCCGCTCAATCCAATGGCCGCTGCACCGGTAGATGGTCGTCGTGTTTGGGGCGGTGACGATATCTTGATAACGAGACCCTCTCCTGCGCCTCAACCCCAAGGCCACAACCGGTTCTGTATTGATAATAACGTCGTCCCTGAATATTTCGGAGAGTTGGTTACCTACGTGATTTGATCGATCCATTTCTATGTGTTTAATAAATATTATGTTAAGTGCTKCGATGATATCGTTTTTGTTTTCAGTCGCTAACGCGTAAAATCCGTGYGAGTGGTTGAAGGTGAGATCGGATTTGTGCGGACGTGTGTGGGTGTACATCGAAACAATGTTTCATCGCTGTATTTTGTGATCGATTTTTGTATGTTTTTTTGATTGGTCGTCGCTGTATCTGCAGTCGGGTGCACCTCCACTGGATAAACAAAGTATCAACCACAAGGTTAATTTTTTGACGTGAATCATCAAGTCACTTTTTATATAGAMAATTTAGTTATTTTTACTTTTACAAATCCATTTGACAAAACGTATAGGACATAGAACCTTTCGCTCAAAAATTGTTTTCCCTTTTCGTCCGCGTTCCTGCGATGTAGCGATCACTTCRAAAATGGCGTACTTACTTACTTATGACCATTTTTGTGATTGGTATTTTACTATTCATTTTTCAAATAATTATGTTCACAAATAAATATTTTAAAACCGTTAAGTATGAGTGCCACCAGAATGTGCGAAAAGATCGGAGGAAATAATTTTTTTTTTTGTGTAGACATCTTAAACATTACGAGTTTATGTTAATATTTTTAACATCGAATAGAAATATTCAGAACAAAAAAATGAAACCACAAATAAATAATATGTAATATGTAATCCACTGAAATTATACATTTATCCAAATACATATTATTATTATTATGATTCGCTAGCGTATGGATTTCGAGTTTTTTGCAAAGTTCGTCAATTCCATACTRCAATATAACCATTTACGTTCCATGTAACATATGACTTACACCTTAAATTGTAATTGTAAATATGTATGGTTTTTGCAATAGAACCGGTCYAAGTGTTTACAAAAATGTCGATTTTAAGTACGTGGACGATAAAGGAATAGTAAACTTCGTCATATCTGAGCGTGTCTCGTTGAACAAATATCATATAGGTAGGTACAATATAAAAATATAGTTATGCTATGAAAATTACGCATACGATTTGCGCAATAGCATTACATAATCCTATTAACCTGCATCAGCTGCGCCAAATCGAAATGATAATCTTCGGGAAAACGTTACGATTGATTTTTATGCAGAGGTTTGGCATACTGTGTGGTATCTGCGGCAGAAGAACGGTAAATACTCGTAATGAATATTATTCCGTTTAGATTTAAAGCGATTTCAAACTGCGATGTTCACAATTTAGAGAGGCGTCAAGGAACCTAGACAACGGTATGAAAGGTTGTTCGGTATGTCGCGATATTTATTAAAATTGTCTCCGTTGAAAATACAAAACGATACTCGTTATATTAAAACACGTCACGTTTATGTCAGAATACTATAGCATTAATAATATGTTTTTCAAAAATGTATAGTAACGGTCTAGATAAATTCAGAAAAATCTRCGCYGTGACGATGCTCAAACGGGTTCTGAACAAAATAGAAAAAATTATTATTTAATTTTCGTGATTTGTCCTATTTTGTATTTATTCAATATTTTGAGAATTAATTTACGACATTAAATAATCCATTATGTACATCAGAGGTTAATAAAAATTCAAAACATTGGTCATAAAATTAAATCGTTTCTAAGACCCGACACATACAGAAGAACTGGTGATGACCAATTATGCTTACTCCATTTTTTGCTTTAATAGGAAATTTAGTCGTTCAAAATCTTAATTTTCGGAATTTTTAAATATRCTCAACAGCTATTTTTTAAAATACCTACTTGTGATTTTTTTTTAAATATGTACTCATTGRGTGTCCTGTGGAAATACAAGTTTTTCAAATGAGAACATCCCTTACACTTTCTACTGTAAATTAACTGATGAATGATTTTTCTGACATTTTGACAATTCAAAACTCGAATGAGTAGTTTCTCGTGTTATTTGACATTATGTTCTAATGACAAAAATACCATGATGATAGGTTTGGAAGACATGGAGTTAAGTTTGGGGATAATATAACGATCAGACAATTTTAAAAATCAATATTAATTTATCAACACTTAAAATTTATAATTTGTAAAAATAGTTTAAATATAATAAATAATATATTTAATATTACACWTTATAATTTATATTTTTGTAAGGTAATTCTTAAGGATAATTTTCCTATTACTCTTACTTAGGATTATCTTATTACTCGTTACATTTTGAATTGGGTACAAGTACGTTTTCAGAAATAAATAATTTACAGCATAAAGCAGAGTTCTCTTTGAATATAGAATATATTATTGTATCACTAAGAGAATCTACTTAATAAGTAATGAGAACTCGATAATTTGAAAATATGGATGTTAAGAAATCGGAATTTAAATAAATGTATATCAAAGGAAAAATGGAGGGAACGTGAGCGTGCTTGGTAAATCATTCTTTATACCTATTATTATTTATCTTACAGTTAAAATTATATAGATACTGGTGATATCGTTAGACTATCAGAGCATAACACACTATTATAAAAATTATTGATAGGATTGAGTAATTTTGGGTAAAATGGAATTTATTGTGTAATTATTTCCTCTGGATTACAGAGTTTTTAACATAATAATAATAATATATTTAATATGTTTGCAATAACAAATAATAAGGTCGTCTGCACTTAATCAAATTTTTATTTTTTTGTGGCTTGGTGAGGCGCAGTCGTACGCTCGATCTGCGGAAATGCACTGAGCGTACGTACCGGCCGCTAGCTCCCGGATGGGTGACCACCCGGGATTTTTAGCAACATATCCTTGCCACACATACACAAACACGTGTAACAACCCTACCCACTTAAAAACATACAAACAAATATACAAAAATAACACCTGCCGTACCACCCCACAACCATTGGCCTATGTTGCCGCGGGTTCTCCTTAAAAAAAAAAAATGTATATCTCTCCATACTACAATACAATACATTATTGTTTATTTAATTAATTTKATAATTGTTAAACAATGAATACGTATCATTCTAGATCTACAGTAATATTATTATGCATTTTGTTAAAATAATGTTTGTTAATTGTTTACATTATTACACCTATTCAAGAATAAAACGATGTGCTTATAAAATATTTATTCAACAAATAATATATTATTCTATTCACGTTATGATTTACGTTATTATGTAATTTTTATTATATTATAAAAAAGTTAACGAATACTTAAAAATACATGTATAAACAAATTTTTTTTGTTTCATAAAAATAAGGCTAAATTTGTATAACTATATTTATATTCTGTATTTATAGTGATTTGTGTAGAACAATTGTATTGAAAATGTATATTTCTAGCTCAATGTTAAAGAAATAACAAAACWTAAGCAAATTTAGTCATATTTTATGTTGTACATAAATATAATTGAACATTTTGTTTTTTTAATAAAGTTATTTAAAATTGATGATTATTWTACACTGGTTGTTTTTTTCATTATTAGTAGGTATTTGCTCGTCATTATTTCTAAGATCATTYTGTTGTTTACAAYACTGCACAATGTTATGAAATTGTACAACTCATTATRACGTCTAAGTCGGTCAAACTATAATCAAACTGGCTCACGTACTACACAGTAAGTTAATACGAAGAACATAATAACATATAGTTGCCGTGTACATCCGTCGAGATTTCTCACATGGTGCAGGTTACAGGTTGAATTCTGGTAAGTTCCTAAATTTCAAAAAAAAAATATATATTATATTATTTCACAATATTTTTCCCCTATGTATTTTATGTTCTTATAAGTACAAAAACATGCAATTATATTTAATTAATTTATTCGCGTTGAACTCATTTAACCGTTATTTCGTACATAATATTACAATGGTCAAGGTGAATAATCATAAACATGGATCGGAATTTAATTCAGGGATAGGTTTATTAAAGAAAGTTTTTTTTTTACAAACATTTTAATATGTTTAATTAATGCCTTGTATAATATATACTCTGATTATTATTTAAGAGTGAAACATTATATGTATGTTAAACATTGATGAAACACCATGACACAATGCCTAAATCTAGTAAACTATTAAAAATCTAAAATCTAAAGGATAATATTATAACAACGAAAATAAAATCAGTGCTACCACGAGCACAGAAAAGAATATCACTCATTTCAATTCCGTCCATGCTTATAAAAACCCTATATAGGCTATATTATTTAGCATAATATTTGGGTAAAAATAATAATATATCATATATGACCGCTGCAGTTTATACATAGGTTAGGATTTCTTTCCCGGAAGTTACAAGTTGAATTCTGGTAGGTTTTTATAAGAAATGTGTTTTTTTTTCTCAACGTTCGTATATGTATACACAATAACGTATTGTAATAGTGTATTGATTTATTCACATTGTTCTCATTTAACTGTTATTTCATACATCAAATGCTCAGTGATATATTTTATCACGTTCAATGTATTGCATATATGATTTGTTGAAATAAAAATATATATGGTCGCTATGTACATCCGTCGGGATTTCTGATAGGTTTCTATTTCAAAAATAAATATTAGTTCACGTTTCGTTTACTACATTCCTATTTTCTACAAAWATCTATTATAATGCAATATTGTTGTATTCACATTTAACTCTCATTTAATTTTCATGTCGTGCATAAAGAATTAATGTAAAGTGATATATAGCACGTGTATAAAATAATAAATTGCTTATTTTGGCGAGGGAATGGTTATGTAWAGTTGATTATTGGTAAAGACTATTTATTTCGTTTAATATTAAAAAATTAATCGTTGTTTGCGATTATCATATATTAATTGTGCTACTCATTTATAACAATAAAATACATATTTTTTAAGCGTTATTGGTAATATTTCCTTAAAAATCTCCCTAGTCTCTATCATTATGTCCATAATATCGATATAAGGATACTTTTTTCATATTATTATTATCAATATTATCAAAGGTAGGTACACAGTGGATMATTTATTGTAGCATACTTTTTTTATAATAGCTATTACCCGATAATTTAATATTGGTAACTTCGTTAATATACACCTGAAGTACAATTGATATAAAAACCAACCTACTATAATAATTTCTCGTAAAATATTGATTTGACGAATGAACCGTAGACGAATAACGAAGCTTAAGATTATTAAATTATATCATGTAACACTGACGCATGTAATATAAGGTAATAATCAGGGCTAGGATTTGTATGCAACAGCACGTTTTTTTGCGACTTCTGATTGTTGATTTTGCCAGTGATGTCCACGAATCACCTCGTGATGAGATAAATGGTGGTGTTTTTACTTTGCATGTTTTTACATATTTTGGATAAAATGCATATTAATGCATATATTGAATAAAATTAATGTTATTGCATATTTCCATTATAAGAATGCGAAATATGCATGTTTTATAGTATATTTCGTAATTAATATTTATAATTTAATATTAATACTTCGTATTTAATTCTAGCTCAGCTGATTAAAGTATTAMACTTGATTTTTTTGTCAAACACTAATTTTATTTTTATAAATACAATCCTATGGTACAATAGGTATGCGATTAAAGATTGAATAGTTTGACGGAGAAAGATAAAAACAATTAATAAAAGTATGTTGGTTAGGTTAATATAAAATCTAAGATAGAAAT